AATAGACTATAAAGATCTTCATCCAAAGACACTGCAGAGCGAAATATTGTTCCAAAGGTTGAACTTAGAGGCTTTTATGCTTACGATGAGTTAGTTAGATTAGAATAATAGTTTAGTAGTAATATGTATCATGTTGCTCGAATAAATATGTACTTTTGTCTTCATTTGATTAATAAACTGACAATCTAGTCTGGCTACGGGTACACAAAAAAAAATAATGTTTAACTATAATATATACTATATTACTTGAATAAATATTTATTTTTAATTCTTTTGATTAATAAATTATAGTCTAATTTGATTATAGATATTACAAAAAAATATTATAATAAATTATAAAATATTTTTTTTGCTTGATTTTAAAAAAAAGAAACAAGAAAAAAATATATTAATATTAATAATAATGTTTATAAGAAAAAAATATTAAAAAAAATATAAATAGATATATAAAGTATTTCAAAACAAAAAATTTTCAAGTCAAATAATTATTTTTTAAAATTTTATATAGAGACAAGTAATAAAAAAATAATTGATATAGCTAGTTAGCTCAATCTTAATAGCAAAAAAATTAGTAAAAGAATTATAAATAACATTAAATAACTTCAAAATAATAATAATAATAATAAATAAGATATATAAAGATATATATGTATATCTAAAAAGAGATATAGAAATTAATTATAAAGATAAATTTGATATAAAAAAAAAAGAAATCAATGATTTAAAAAAAGTATCTTAACAAATAAATTAAAAAAACTATAGAACTTGATTAATAATAGAAAAAGAATTAAAAAATAAATAATTCAAGAAAAAAAATAAAGAAACCTATATTAAATATATAGTATGATAAAATTGATATAATAATATCAGCCTTAATTTTTTATTTTTTAAAATTTAATTTTATCACATACTATATAGTACATAATCTATACAAATATTAAAAAAAAAATACGTTTTAGAAAACATCTGTGCTAAAGAAAGATTTAACAGGAATAACCTGTAGGCAATGAAATATTTAATTGAAAGAATTTTTATCTGGATTACTCATAAAAAGTTGTATCTAAAGTTTAGATTAATTAAGACAAGCGAGCAATATGCAATACGTGTAACGATAATACAGTCAGATGGCAGATAAAATAAAAAATTCAGGTTTATGTGAAAAAGAAAGTACATCGAATAAAAAAATTTTTAAACAGTATAAGTTTCCTAGTTAAAGCTATTATATAATAAAGCTGATTTTTTAAAAGAAAGAATTAATAATACTCAAACATACTGTAAATTATTTTTGAAACACACGTAACTATTAAATGGATGATTTGCAGTATTGCAAATCACCAATACACGAATGAAGTGAGAGGTACGTGCAACATAGTGAATGTGTTACAAACATTTGGGGGTGTATATTAGCGTGCAATACTCATGGAAAAAATTCCAGTTTTTTTTTTTATAATCTTTTTTATTACTTTTTTTCTATTACCTATAAAGAAGAAGAATGCATTTCAGTAAAGAATTATCCTTCAAGCTTGGGGAGGCGGAAATAAGGCCAGTGGGAGTCGAAATAAAAGGGCTTGGTGACAAGAATGACGAAAGGGATGGCACAACCAGCAACGACATTCGTTCAACAAACAACAGTCAAGAAACTGCCGGACAAATGTTAAGCCTCACAGGAAGCAGGTATAAAAATATCAGGTATAGAAAATCTATTTATCGCAGGGGAAATACTAAAAGATCGGAGGTGACTTGTCTCGACCACGTTCAAGACGAACAAAAGACGTTGCTACCATGTGACGCGACTGGTCCTGGTGTGTCGAAAAACAAGCATGTGCGGAAAAGTTCAAGAAATGGAAAACTTGAAGAATGGGTTCGGACGCATGAAAGAGCTAAAGGTATAATAAAGATCGAAGGTGAAAGGAAGACCCTTGAAGCTAAAAAATCAGATGAAAACGATCATATTTACAAATGGCTAAACGGTCTTCGAGAGGATGATTCTAATTACAGACCAAATAAATTCACCAAAATAATCGATCAATTTCATTATGTCATTTCTCCTTCCGACAATCGCATTTGGTTGACTTTGACACACAACAACTTGTTCAGTGTTCATAATGTTTTGTTCTTGTTTCCAATGTATACAACCCCATTTGAAAGTCTTACGCATCTTGACATTTCTCATAACCGACTTTCTTGGATACCCGCGCGAATAGGACAACTCGTCAGCCTCAGATATCTCAACTTGTCTTATAACCTCATAGAGGAGCTTCCATGCCAGATAGCTATAAAAATGAGTGGATTACAACAATTGGATGTTAGCAATAATCCTTTGGCCAAGCAAACGGGAACAGAAAATCGTTTAGAGCTTTCCTACTCGACCAATTCGGCCGTTCCCAAACTTTCTGAATTGTGTTATCGTGAATATTTGAACCGTCGTAAAGAGTTTTTGAATTCGAAATATGTGACTAAACGAAAATATTTAACAGAAGCAGTTCGATCAACTTTATTACAGCCGAATAAACGCGTGTGCTCTACCTGCGATTGTTTGCACACGGAATATGCAGCGACGTTGCTCCATTTTACATGGGTTTGCTTAGTGCCAGATGTACCCCTGAGGTACGATTTTTGTTCGATCCGTTGTGCAAAGCAATTCGAAGAGGAACGTGCGCGTGAGAAAGTTGTGGAAGAAGAAAAGAAGAGGCGCCGACGGGAAAGATTTGGTTTAGAACACGATGCTGATCAAGAAACTACTAACCATTCGAATCATTCCAATTGAGATTCTTGCTTTTTTTATGTGTAGGTGATTGATTTTGCAATTCTTATAATTTTCGTGTAAAGCGCGCGTCAAGGTCATCTTAATTTTTTTTTTTTTTTTCTCTTTAAAATTCACTTGACAATAAAGATCTCAAAAATTATCTGTCGCCCACGCAAATTCGATCCGTAAGATTTCCTTTTTATCGTTGTTAATGGCATTTCAAGACGTGTAAATATAATTCAAAGAAACCTTGTATCCCAAGGGGTGTAAAATCAATAAAAATTTTAAAATCAGAGAGTATGGATGACATCTGAATTATCCAATTATTTATTTATTTTGAAAATTTCTCTTTTCCTTTGGATAAAAATTAAAAATTGGTAAAAAAAATTTTTCTGGTATTTTCGTATATCTTCCCTGCCAACGCCTCGGGGTTGGCATCACGAATCGAGGCCAACACATATAACACCTGACTAAATAAAGTAAAAAATGAAAAATATGAACTGTCAACAGAGTACACTGACATTTCCCATAACAGAAGAATCGTTTACCCGATGCTGCAAGGTTCATTCCTTCCTTTGACCATAAATCCATGTTCGAACTTTTCCTTTTTACGTGATGGTGGTTGATATAATTCCATCATTTCCTTAGAAAGGGTTGCAGTCAAATGGGAGTAGGATGCATGGGTTGGTCGAATGTCACACCACGGTGCATCTGATGGTGCAAGGAAATGATTAAGGTCGTAACATGTTCAGACACATATGCCCAATGAGATTATTCTCCGGGTACCTGTTTCTATCATCAACAGGTCCTCCGGTACTCGTTTAGCTACCTCAAGATTCTTCTGCGTCTTTAGAGAACTGGAGGATCATTAACATCGTTGAAAGATGAATAGAAGAAATACGCGTGCCATGTAACTGAATACATATGGATATATTACCACCCGTTAATCCCAAGATGTAATCTTAGCAAAACGGCACGTTCCATTTCCTCCATATCACAGGTAATCGAGTGGACGACACCATGTGTGAACTTGTGCCTATTCTTTTCGATCATATGTGCAATTCGAAATGATGGATTTCCGTTAAGGTCATATATATTTTTCTTCCGTGAGGATAAGAAGATGGGAAAGGATATCCATAAAATCTGTTCCCGTGTTCCGATTATGTAAGAACATTGGAAGATTGACTCGTTCTGCAAGTTGGAATTGGCGCTCGAAATACCTGAAAATTTATTATTATTATTTTTTTTAAAGAGCTTATCCAACAAAAACATCTCTTCTAAAATCATGGATGAATACCTAAGTTGCACTTCTTTCGAGCAAAATTGCAGTCGATCATAATCTTGAACAGTGGTAGAAAGAATATACAGTAGATGAACGGTGAAGTGGATTATACAGCCATCTGAGGTCTAATTCGGTGAACCTTACCAAGACCACATTCCCCAATGGCTACCACATTGCTCTTAGCATGTTCCTTTGTGGCAATGTCGAAAAGCCTCTGAAAATATTGATCCGGACCTCCGGGATCACTTTCAAACTCGTCGCATCGGGTCGGATGACAACCGACGGTTGAAAATAGATTATCTGATTCAGAAAATAGGAGACATTGAAAAGGCCCGAAGGAATATTGGCAATCAGTCATTCTCTAATTAATTAATTGATGGTTACCATAACTCTTCACCAATTCTAAAGCCTCTTCACTCTCTTGTGCAGTGCCGCCAGTCACAATGATCCTTTCAACGCCAGCATCCGTTGCACGTTGCAACATTTCCGAGAAATCATCTTTGCATAAATGCAAGCTGAATCAATACTCTACACATTAATTATTTGTGTGTGCAACATTAAAAATTACCGGCATGTGCTTGTTTTCCATTATAGACCCCACGAAATTTTGGATCGGTTAAATTTGCTCCAATATCTTTATTTATTTTTTTGAAAAGGATGTCAATGGATTAAGAAACGGGATAAGGTTAACCGAAAGACTCCATACCAATGAATTTCATATGTAAATTTCGCTATTTCACATTTACGTAAACAAATTTTTTTAAAAAAGTGCGGAGATCATTACCATTTATGCATCCGCATTCACATGTTTGCAATCATAAAAAAAGTTAATAGAAATTTTCAACGACCTCTTTTTTTGCGAACGGTAGTCGATTTTCTTTGTGTTCCAAGAGAGAACGGAAAGAGAAAAAAAAAAAGAAAAAAGAAAATGCTTGGAGTAGACTTTACTTCGTGGTTGCCTCCGGTTTGGGTAGGTGATTATTTTTTTCGCGGAATTACTATTCTACCAGTTTTCTGAAATTCAATTCTATTTCAACTCTGCAGGCGGAATTCTTTAATTCACTCAGTTTAACTGATTTGTAAGTTCATTGCATTCAGTCGCAATTACTGATGTCCTTCCTAACTTCTAATTTCTTCTTCTTCTTTTTTTTTTTAATTCAGGATCGCGGGTATACCTGTGTTCCTTGTCATTTATACCGTGCTTCCCAGTGCCATTTTCACGGCGCGACATAGAAGCCGAAAAGGTAACTGGTACATTCCCCCTGAACCCACGGATGAGTCTCCTTCAATGCAGGCAAAATTGGTTTGTCAAGTGTATTCATATTTATTTCACGAGTAGAATACTCTAACCATCCTTTAACACGTCTAATCTCTCTACCTTGCCTGAACTCAGCTCCTACTGAATAGTTTGGCGGTGCTATTTACCATTAAATACATTGCGCAATATATTTTTGGACACCCCAACCCGGAGATCTTTGTCACAGGAGCTTTATTGACAGTAGTTGTATGTTAATCACGAGTTCGATTGAACTGAACCTCTATTAATTGCACTAACCTTTAATTCCTCACTTTAGCTGATAACTGTGGTGATATATCACTTCGAGAACATAGGAGTCGTTAAACCCGCAATTCCCCTCTCAGTCCTGTGGGGAACAACAACGCTCACCACATTGTATTATACAACTTCTACTCACGACATCACCCACGAAATATACTTGATTTCTAGTTTATTAATGTTCATGTTGGAATGGGCATCACCACGTTCGTCGACTACACAGGTAACTCTGATGAGAGAATTGGGAATTTTTTTTGAATTCTGCTAATTTTTTCTTATTCTACAGCACATCAACCCATCACCTCAACAAAATTCCATTTCTGATGCTAACCATAAAAAATCCGAATAATTTTCTTTCATATACATTTAATTGGTGTTATTACGATAATTTAATAGCTATAAACAAAATTCCTGGTGGAATTTCATAACTAAAAAAAAAAACAAAACTGTCGAATTACATTACGCGTGATAAATGTTTAGTGATTGAAATAATTATTATACAATTGTTCCTTTAAATAATGTTCCTTTGTGATCTGATTTTTACAAGTATATGAGCAAAATTGATAGCATACTGGCACTTTTTGTCCGCAAATTTGATCAATGGTCTTATATAGAATGCCCGAATGAAATAGCGGAGTGTCGCAACGCGAGCAGGTCCTTGGTATACAATCGTCCGAAAGTCGCACTCTATTCGAGATCTCTTTAGGAAGAAAATTGAAGATACAATTCTTTCCTTGCTTGCAAGCAATCTGTTGGTGCTTTCTGCTGCAAAAGAAATGCTGACCCCGATCCATTATTGTATTTCCAACAACTTGTGCACATATATCCATTAGACTTACAATGACTTCATTATCATTCCGATTTGTTCCTCTTGGTTTTGTCAATTCATCTCTCTCTTTATCTTTCGCGAGTTTTTGTTGTTTGTCCTCTTTCTTCATTACGAAAGGATTACCTTTTACTCGAAGAGCAGCAAGCTTTTCCATCTTGATCAATTCTGCCGGCAGATAGGTTAGTTGATTATCACCAAAATTTAGGAAATCGCATTTTTTGCATTCGCGTATTTGCGAAGGTATTTTCTGAATTCGATTACTATGGATGAATAATTCACGTAACGAGGTTAAATATCCAACATGAGGGGAAATTGAGGTCAACTGGTTACATTGCAAGTGTAGTTCTTCCAGGGAGGTCAGATGAAAGAGTGAATCAGGGATGGATGAAAGCTTGTTGTATTGAAGGTAAAGCCTTCGGAGTGTTGCAAGATGTGGTATGGCGGGTGGAAGAACTATCTAAACATTAGTTTGCTTTAGTAACCATCAAAATAATCGGTGACTGGTAAAAAATGCCAAACTTTCACCCACAATCTTTGAAATATTGAGATCAATTAGTCGCGCCTCATTTTTCGACGGAAAGGACCGCGTGATTGTTTTGTGATTTTGTTGCTTGTCATTATCCTTATCGGAATCGCCTATTGTTGGACTTAGATAATGCGTTGTAGTATAGCCACCGGTCTTTGAGATGGTATTAATATTCCAAAGGACAATGGTATGATCAAGTTTCTTGAGTTCGTTGCCTAATAGTATATGACAATGCTCTATGCCTTGCAAGAATTCCATAATTAACAATTAATGTAATCAAATGCGAACTTAAACATGCTCCAACATGTGATAACATCCATAACAGTTACACAATAAAAAAAACGCTTAACATATAGATCAATGTTAACTTTCCTTGTCGGCAGAGTCAGAAATTCCTTCCCGTTGGCGGTGAGTTTATTCACACGCCAATTAAAGACTTCCTCTAATCCCGTCTATGTTCCTGTCAACGATGAAGCCGAAGAAATATTGGAAAATTATTATGTCCCGGGAAAATACCTGCATTTCCTTAGAAAGAATAGAAGAATGTTGAAAAAGGAAGCACGAGAAGAATCTCATTTCGGAAAAGAGGTATTTGAGTTTGTCACTTTTGGAACTGGAATCGCACACCAAGAACTTACCACGTTCATAAGTTTTTCACAGCCCGTCCAAAGAATTTCTGCTCGGAAAGCCCGTGCACCGAATCCTGTGAACACCAAAGAGGAAATACTCCACATTAATGGCGAAGAAATTAAGACGTCTACGGTGACTCAAAATTCTTCGCAGCTTAATCTTTCGCGGCGACTAAACCGTGCGATCATCAAGTGTAATGACCGTGTACCACATGCCTTCCTAGGTTCTACTTTTATGAGGATTACCAATGTAAGCGCAAAAATAATCCAAATTTGCATTGAATCGAGATTTCCTAGTTTTTTTTAACTCTTGTTTGTTAATTAGATTTTGGTATCGCCGAATTTAAAAGTTGCCCGGATTTGGTGGAAGCCCGAAGGGCAGAAAGGGATTAGTAAGGTACAATCTCGTGCATCACTATTCGTCTTAAACGTGTTTGGCTGCAAGATTCATAATGATATCTCATTGGATTCAAGGTCGCTATAGAAAATTGCCTCCGTGAAAACCTTGTGGAATATTCTAACATGCTTCGACGTTCCATGTACGTTAGAAGACCGCCAAAAATTATCTTTACCCGGGAAGATTCACAATTGGATGACATAAATAACATTTTAGATCAGATCGAGAATGATTTTAAGAAACGGGAAGACATGAGGCTTAAACAAGAATCATCCGACAACTTTTTTTTAGAAAATGAAGGATCGAAGTAAACTAGTGATTGAGCAAAGAATTGATCTTATTGTCGACGTATACAGCGGAAACTCTGAAATCGCGATTCAGAAAATGTATTACTATAATAAATTCATTATTATAATTCAAATATACTATAAATAATTGTATGCGATATGTTATGTTACATACAATGCCGTATGTTCGAAAATAATGCATTTACTGTATAAAATAGAATAATATTTTTTTTAGCTAATAGATGACAAGCTACTAATAATAGTTCTGCTTGAAATTAAGTTACTAAGTTAAATTATTGCATATCAAAAAAAAAAAAAATAAATTTTTATTTTGTAAAATTTATTTGTTCTTATATAAGCAATATTTTTAAACAATAAAACTTACTTATTAGACTAGTTACTGTACATGGGCTTTATTAAACATTTGTAAGCTGTATATAAATTTCAAATAATTTTTAAATTTAAAAAAAAAATATCATTAATTTTTTGTATTTATATATAGTGGACATATGACTCAAAAAAAAAATAAAAAAAAACTTGTTCAATAGATCATTATTAATCAATAAACTTTTACAGTTGTTTAAGAATTGATTTTTCTTGTTTTTATACAAACATTAGTATTAGATACAAAAATATCATCTGCTATTTCTATTAAAATCTATATAATAAACTATTAATTAAATGATCAAGAAAAAATTCAAAAGATGTTACAAGAAATAAAAAGCTGTATTTTATTTACACTTAATATTTGGATATCAGTTTCAATGAAAGCATTTTTAGATATAACTGTTTATTTTATCAATAAAGATTGAAGAATATAGAGTATAATAATAGACTTTGTATAATTGTGAAATATCCATTTGAGTAAAAATATTAAAGAAACATTTTTATTATATTTAAAGAAATTTATGATTCAAATAAAGGTAAATTTATTTATATATTTAAAATAAATATAATATAAAACTAAATCTCCCAAATCAATAGTAACAAATCAGTCCTAGTTACTATTAACAATCCCAACCAATATCCTGAAGAAGTTCAAGCAGAAGTCAATAAAAAAAATAATGAGAAAATTAGATAGAATGGAACAAGCAAGGTTTTTAGGAATTTAAATAGGCAATCAAAAATAACCATTAAGCTCAAAGAACAAGTGCTTAAGAAAATCAATGTAATTATCAGAGCTCTAAAAAATAAAAAGTTAACAGACAAACAAACTCTTTACATTTTAAATAGAGTACTAATACTAAGAATTGAATTCAGAATGCAATATAGTATACTGTCTTAGAAAATATACAATACCTTAATAATGGCATATAAAAAATTATTCAAAAATAAGATCATATTATATTGATCAATATCCAACAATATAATATATCATTTCAAGATTTATAACTTAAAGAGTGTTTGAATGTTACAGAAAAAAAATCAGATAATAAAACTGTACAATAGATTAAATACCAGTTGAAACCATAATGATTATTAGACTTAAGTAAATACAAGTCAAATACTGGGAGCCCACCAATATGCTTATATGTAAATTACTGAATAATCTTTTAGAAAAAAGTAATTTCTCACTGCAAGTACTGAAGCTGATCAAGGATATTGATATAACTTTTCAAGTTGGAAATGGAATGATATTTTTGAATTGAACCAAGGAAATAATCCAATTAAAGAATATTTGTTAATAGAAGAATATAGAAAAGCAATCCTATCACTCAGAAAAAACAAGTTGATATATATAAATCAGCTAGTTGATTATGAAACAAGAGAAATATGAAACTAACAAATGCTTCAATTCTTACAAAAAACAAGCAAAGAACCTATTCCAGAATAATACCTATTTATAATTGAGATAATTCAAGGAAATAAATTAAAACAGCTTATAGAATCCTGAAAAAAAGAATGGATAAAATGGAGTCCAGAATACTCTAATTTCAACTTCAACTTTGATAAACAACTGAAACTCTGGATGGTTACAAGAAGCAAATTTTAGTAGCAACAGATAATTTCAGGAAAATTGATTCTAGATAATATCAAAAGACAGTTTAAAATAGAGTACTTTGAATATATTAGCCTAGTTAAAAACCAAGAATCAAAACTAGTTCAGTGTCAAGATTGCACATAAGATATAAAGATAGAAGAATAATGTATAATTAAAACAAGTATAGAGAAAATACATATGGTTTCTTATTTTAATACAAGAAAATCCATCAAAAAAGCTCAATTACTAGAAATTTCAAGTCTCAAAAAATATTAAAAGGAATGATATGCAGAAAAATATGCTATAATTAAGTAACTCCCAGAATAAAAAAATACTATAGATTGAAATAGAGGATTAGAAAATAAATATTATTAAAGATCATATTAAAGAAAATACCTATCAATTCTATCTAATCAAAATATTTAAACATAACAAAAAAAAAAAAAAAATCAATAATCTTCTACTTTGATGAGTCCCTTATAAACCATGGAAATATAAATATGAAAATGAGAACAGATTGGATACAAATAGAAGAGACAAGAAAAGAAAGCAAGTTTTAAATTGAAGTAGACAATTGGCCTTCATCTACTAGAGCAAAATTAGTAGCTATAATAACTATACTTCTAGTAACTTTAGTAGAAAGCAAGATCAAAATCTTTACAGATAGTCAAGCTTACATATCAAAATAAAAAACTATAAAAAAAGAGGATGCCAGAATGACCTATAAAAAATGATTAAAAAAACAAAACTGGTTCTTATAGATACATATATTAGATATTATAAAGAAAAAGAAACTGAATCTCAAGCTTATCAAGGTTAAGGTATATTCTAACATTCAGTATAATGAATAAGCAAATGCTTTTGTTAAAGAAGTATTAAGATTTCCAGCAATAAAATAGAAAAACTTAGTTTCACTCAAGATTATCACAAAAATTAAATGATAAGATATAGTACTAGATATTTCTATAAGACAAGCTATTAAAAAAACAAATAATAAAGTAATAGTCTATTAATAGATAACTTAATACAGAATTGAAAAGAGATGGAACCATAAAATTCAAGATCAACATAAATATACATAGAACCTAGTATGGGAACAATTTAAGAATAAATATATATAGAACATCACCTTTAAGAGTTCACAAAACAAATATTTTCTCATTAAATTAACCAATAATGAGTTATTGATATTAACTAAGCTGGCCCTAAGAAAACCAGATCTATATAAGCAAGTGAAATATATTATGTGTGATCAAGAAGAGGAAACAATAGAACACTTACTAGAATACCTAACTTACAAGACTCAGTGAAGTAAAAAATGGCAAAAAAGAATGAAAGAAGTTATCAAAGGATTCTGAAAGCTCTCAAAAGAAAGGAAAAAAGAATACGAAGAGAAAGAGTTAAATTTAATGATAGATAATAGGATAGAAATAGAAGACTTTGATAAATAGATAGCAAGACTAGTGGAAAGGATTTCAGAAATCAGTTAGAATATACTTGAATTCTATATAGAATTAATAGAAAAAAATCTAATTGTAAGAATAGTTAATCTGAAGTGTTTCAGTAAGAGAATTGAAAAAAAGGCAAGAAGATGGATAATAAAAATGCAGAAAAAAGTATATAACTACTTCTGAAAGAAAATATGGGATATGAAATATAAAAAGATGATCAAATGAAAACAAATATCAGGAATCTGCAAATATAACAAGATTAAGAAATCAGTACATCTATAGGACTAGAAAAGAAAGAGCAAGAATACAAAAAATCAATTTAATAAGAAATTGATATATATAAAAAAAAAATTGAAAACAAGAAGTTGGAAGAAATTCTACTAAATAGTGTAAAGTATAGTATGAAGTTATTAAGGTTTTGATTCCTGTCAGAGTTCAAAAAAGTGATCTGTAGTAGTGACTTGTAGGCAATGATATTAGAAGTTGGAAGGGTTTTTACCTGAACTTCTAATGGAGTGAAAATCACTTTTGAAATTGCACTTAGAGAAATAAAAGAATCAAAACAAGTGAGTTAGTTAGAAAATTAGCTTTAGCATTCATTTAATATGTACAGCTTACAAAAGTTTAATAAAATATATATAACTAATTTTTTTTTTTTTAAACCCATAGTCAGGCTAGCATTATATGTTTATTAATCAATATAAAAATTAATAGAGATACATAAAGCAATTGTATCATGGCTAAACTAAAAACTTGTACCAACACACTAGTCAATGGCTTTTAATTTTCAAATGAGCTTCAGTTTCTAAGTGCAACCTTGGGGACAATATTTTACTTTGAAATAAGTTTTGGATGAAGACCCTCCTAACTTACACATTATTGTCAGCAAGTTGTCACTGCTTATTATTTTCCAAGGAACTGATTTTGAGAAACTACAACAGGAAAAGGAAAAAGAAAAAGGAAAGGGAATATCTAAAAATGCACAATTGTGCTACATGAAAATGAAAAAGAAAAAGAAAAAATAAAAGTGCTCCATGTCCTCCAAAGGATCTCTGCTAGAAATCTCTTCTTATTAGGAATCAATCCTTCTGGAATATCCTTCTTCTTCCTGACTGTTTGAGAAACTTATCTATCTATGCTCTTGATTATTTTCTTGTGACCATCTAAGATACTTATCACCTACTCAGATCCAGTGTCTTGCTCAATGCTTTCTTTCTTTCAGTCTTGATTTTATATTCACCTGTGTAGAACTGAACAGCTAATAGTAGACCCCAGGTTCTTATGTGGCTTTTCAGTCTTGTTGTGTATCTTTCAATATCTTCTAGTAGCCATACCTAGTTAAAGAAATTTTACTGATATATATTTTCTATTATCCAAAAAGTCAGATTTCCCAATAATCTTTTTGCCTTGCAATGGTGAGAGAGTCACAGATAATATGGGAATTCTCATCGATTACGATATCATTATACAATATCTGGGAAAATGCATTCTCAATTCTAAAGAAGGCAAGAAGATGGATAATAAAAATGCAGAAAAAAGTATATAACTACTTCTGAAAGAAAATATGGGATATGAAATA